CTTTTTAATCTGTTCTAACGTGGAATTTGACTTGCCTTTTTAAAAAGTACATGCAGACATTTAACAGAATTTTTATAAAAATCTGTCTTAAACAAATTTGCCAGGAAAAAAATAAAAGGATTATTTCATTTGATGGTGCAATGATTAATCCTACCACCTGGGTAACCCAAGTGAGCTTCCCACAGGAGATTGCTTCTGTAGCTTTGAATTATGTATGAATATTGCAGACTGATGAGATATAACCTTCCAAGGGATTCATTTACATAACAGACAAATCTGTAAAAATGTTACTATTTCCTTTGAACACCTTACATTCTTTCCACATGTTCATAAAGGTGTTGTCTTTGTGGAGATTATTACATGGTTTTTAAGTGTCAGGTCAGACATACCAAATTGCAATTAAAAACTGGTCATTAAAGTTGGTTGAAGAGTTTAAAGTACAGTCATCCCTCAGTATCTGCTGGGAATCAGTTCTAGAATCTCCCATGGATATCAAAATTCTTGGATGCTTGAGTCCCTTATGTAAAATAGTGTGGCATTTTACATATACCCTACCCCTAACCCTCTTGTAGACTTTAAATCATCTCTAGATTACTTATAATAATCTAATACAATGTAAATGCTATATAAATAAAATTATGTTGTTTTGTTAATGTTTTCAATCTGAGGTTGGCTGAATTCGAAGATGTGGAACACAGGGATTTAGAGGGCTTCCTGTACAGTCAAATGTATTTTGTTTTTTATTATGAAAGCAGAATGATTGCTGAGGAGCCAGGTAAAGAGGAGGCTAAGTAAGGATTTAGGGTTTAAGTCAACCTGAAAATTAAGGACCTAGATATCAACACACTGTAGTGATTGCAGACCTTCCCCTTGCATTATAGGACTTCAACTTGAATTTAAATAGCAGAGCTATAAAAGCTTTAACTTCCTCTTCGTGGGCCACTTATCACTTAATAGATCTGCTTTATAGTAATGAGGATCAAATTGTACTTACCCTGGAAAATAAATATGGTTCTTTTGGTCATTATTTTAAGACATGTGCTAAAATATAGTCTATAAGAAATTCTTATAATTTTCATTTAAAGAATTTTTTACAATCTGACCCATGGATGAAATGTGTTCTCCATTTCTGCTTTCTGATGGTGTCAAGTTTGTTTAGAAGATCAAAGTAATAGGGAAACAAAACCCAATTCTGATTCCCATTTTGGTATTTTCTCCAGTACATTAAACATTTCCCAGTGAAATGGTGGTGTAACACTTTTTTAGAGATAAAGCCTGTGTCTGCTAAGTATCATTTTAGTATTTAGGTTTTTTGGGTTTATGTCTGAAGAGAAAACAAAGTCTTTGGTCAAAAATTAAATTCCTTTATAAAATTAATATCCCTAATGATAACTTAATAGTAAGACTTTACTTTCTTTTCTCTATCTACAGTTTTATACATGGGAACTAAGTCAACCTTCTGTGATGCTATTCTCAGTGCTTTTTCATTTCATAGTCTTAACATGTTACCATACCTAAGTATGAATTCTCAGAACCTCTCTCTCTCCCTTTTCCTGTTATTATTCTAATTGTACATAGAGCTGTTCTTCCTTCAAGCATTAGGACATGACATATCATTATGATGCATTTTTTAAAAATTTGTACTCCTGTTGGACATTGCTGTAACTGTAAATGCAGATTAAACATTTTACCATCCATTTGCAAATCACATGATTTTATTTTTATCAACTTTTTGCATAGTTCTTTGTAGTTGACAATTACTTTAATTGGTGACTTAATATCCCAGTACATTTATTTAAAATATTTGTGTAAACACTGATCTTCATCTAGAATGTAGGCTCTGTTATCCTGATCCTCAAAGAGTTAATAAAACTAGCTTTCACTTTGCTTAGCTCCCTAGAGTAATTTGGCACGTTTCCCAGACCAAACCCCTAATGTAAAGGTCAAGGTGCAGTGGATGTTAAGGTGCAGAATTCAAACTCTTCCTATAGCCTGCCCAACTTGTAGCTCTGCAGAACACCGTGGACTCTTTGGTTCATCAAAGTTTCAGAACATGATTAACAGATTCAAGAAGACCCTGTGAAATTTTTCTTTAATGGGGAATTGTGTGAGTGAGTACAGTGGGTGAGTCTTTTATATTTCATGCTTTTTAGCATTTGTATTTTGCCAAGGCCTTCAGAGCACAGAGCTGTGTTACATACATGTGGAGCAGGCCCAGGGAATTCCTCGTAGGCTAACAGCAGCTGCTCTTTCAGGAGTTTCACAATAACTGAACTTCCTTGCAAATAGCCTATTGCTTGGGAAGAAAACAGACATGTGAGAAAGGAGTCATGACATCTGAAGATTTCACCAACCTTTTTGACAAATCCAAAGGAGAGCTTTCTTTTAGTAATAATCAGGAGGTTGGGGAAAGAATAAAAATGGTAAGAGCAAGATTGCAAAAATTAGGAACCCCAAAACAGCTTTTTAGGAAATCTCTAAAGCTGACACTAAAACTAGAAGAGAATCACTGGAGCTTTAATATTTTTCCTCTCAAAGGAGAACTGGTATTTTTAAATCACTTCATTTATTGCTTTGAAATTAGAATGGGTTTAATATTGACTTGTCCAGCAAAGAACATTTACTCTCTCCTGAAGATCCTGATAACTACTCATGATATACAGTCTTGATGCTAAGTGATGCCTGAGAATGTCTTTTTTTTAATACCTTTATTTTTTTATTTTTTTATGTGGTGCTGAGGATGGAACCCAGCGCCTCACACATGCTAGGCAAGAGCTCTACCACTGAGCCACAACCCCAGCCCCCTCTGAGAATGTCTTGAAGTGTCGCTTTGCTTTGTCTTTGCTAATGCATGGAGAGTGGAGCCCTTTGTTACCTTGATTTTATGGTGTTCCATATCATGAGATACCTGCTTTGTGTGGAGTCCTTTTAATATATATATATTTTTTATATATATATATTAATATATTTTAATATATATATATTGCATATATTGTAGTTGGACACAATACTATTATTTTATTTATTTACTTTTATGTGGTGCTGAGGATCGAACCCAGTGCCTCACACGTGCTAGGCAAGCGCTCTACCACTGAGCCACAATCCCAACCCTTTTTTGTGTTCATGACCTAAGGCAGCCCATTGAGAAGAGGCAGCCTGCTTTCCCATGTAATGCCTCCTTTACACAGACTACCCTTGACTATAGGGGAGTGATTGCTTCTACCTCACCACTCTCCCTATGAGCTGGATTCCATAATGGAACTTCCAGTTCATTGCCTGCTGCTGGTGTAGAGAGACCTCTGGTTCTTCCAACTTTGAAAGAAGACTTTTGAAGTTATATATCCAGCAGACTTCAAGGCTTATTTTTCTGTTCAGGCATAATTATAATTTTCATAATGAAATATTGATAAGAAGGTACTCCTTGTCCTTCAGATCTGCTCCCTTAAATATGTAGGTAATTTATGTTCTGATGATACATGGTCAACAAAGTACCTCTTTTAAAGAAACTTATAAATGTCAACATCACTCTTGCCAATGGAAAATCCAGAAGTAATATGTACTAATACATAAGATGTTTCTTTTCCTTCTTTCTCTTTGCTCACAAAGAAACAAGAATAAGAGCTAATGAGTGTGATAGTCTAGGAATATATTTTCAGAAACCCAGAAACCTTTGAAGATGCCTGATTTTGAATTTATTTTATTGACCAACACATTGAGATTATTTTAACTGGACCAGTTTTCTGCACCAGCTTTTCATGACAGCTTGATCCTCTTGTATTCATAGCAATGGAACTGGCACAGTTCTGGCATTTGGAGAGTGGGAAGAATGGGAAGAGGTAGCTATATAAGTAAATGAGCAAGCAATGATAAGACAAGATTGGTCATACTGATTTGTGGCCAGAAGATGCTTCAGATTCATTTTAATAAATGAGCTTATCTAGAATGCAGAACTTTCTTTTCTGTCTGCCTTTCCTGCTGCATGCATATAAGCAAAGGGTAATGCTTCTATCCTCCTAACAATAAGACCTTCCTGGCTTCAGTTTACCTACCAAAACAGTTGCTTCAACTCCTTATTTGCATAGTCTAATTTCAACTTTATCCCTGGTGCTTTATTAAGTACTTGAGTAAATACTTTAGTGTATACCATATCCTAAGTAAAGAAAATATTATAAAGTATTTGTTATTTACTATAGTATTAGCATACTATCATATAGATAATAAATATAGTATAGTAAATAGGCTAAGTGTTTTACTACATATATCAGTATAATTTTCTTTAACCAAATAAGTTCTGCCTCACCATTGCTACCTCCTGCCTTTAAGAATTATTCTACTCCTTGGGGCTGGGATTTTGGCTCAGTGGTAGAGCGCTCACCTCGCACATGCAAGATCCTGGTTTCGATCCTCAGCACCACATAAAAATAAATGAATAAAATAAAAATAAAGGTATTGTGTTCAACTACAACTAAAAAATAGATATATTTTTTAAAGTTATTCTATTCCTTGACTGTTATTATGGAGTTTTCTCTGAGTTTACCATATCTTCTCTACCAAACTGGATTCTCAATATGTATGAATCATGAAAAATAAAGTAATAGACAGGATGTAGCACTTTTCTGTGTATTCAAACAAGTATATTGGAGCTTATGACCCATTGTTGAGACTGTAGGACTAGTTATTTACATTTATGGGAAGTATATGTAAATTTTAACAGAACTTTTTTTTTAGAAGCAATACAATTCTTTTTAAAATTTTTATGTGGTGCTGAAGATCAAACCTGGTACCTCACACATGGGAGGCAAATGCTCTACCACTGAGCCACAACCCCAGCTCTTTTTTTTTCCTTCCCTTTTTTTTTTTTTTTTTTTTGTGGTGCTGGGGATTGAACCGAGGGCCTTGCGCATTCAGGGCAAGCACTCTACCAACTATGTCCCCAGCCCACCCCAGCTCTTAACAGAACTTTTGAGTACCAGTGTGACAGGTAGTCTGATTTGTTTCAGTCACGTGACCCATGAAGTGACAGAAGAATTTTCTCCACGGGATCCAAGAACTGTTGTTGTCAAACAAGATGTCGGGGGCCGCATCTCAGTCACAGCAGCACTGCCCACCCCTGACCTGGAAAGGGAAGAGGAAAAAGAAGACACTTCAGATCCTATGGACCTGAACCCTTGTAGTGCAACATACAGCAACTTAGGTAAGTACAAATCATATAATTTAAACTTTGCCTTTTTATGTACTAGACAAATGTTCTATTTTCAGGGAGAGATGATTTTTATTGCTCCATGGAGCAAAAGTTGGACCATTGGAGTTATAAATTTTAACTCACATCTGATAAAAAAATTTAAAAAGTTCTAGGATTTACCAGGCTTGTCTTATACACCCACTAACATGAATCCTGTGCCTTGTGCTAAAGATACTAACATGGTCCTTGCCTTGAGGCATTCACATGGGACAAAGTGAACTTATTAATGAATTTGGTATAATGTGGTAAATACAATTATAGAGATACATATAGGATATGTTTTATATTACATGGAGAAGTGTGTCAAAAGATGCCTTCCTGGAGATAATTCTTGAACTGATTTAAAGGAAGAAAATATTCCAACCCAGAGGCAATTATATAAGCAAAACCATAGAGATGCAAAATAGTTGGGTGCCTGTGGGTTCCACAACCATTTAGTGTTGTTGAAATGTGAGGTGAAGAGTTAGATAATATCATGCCTGTCCAAAACCTTTAACATTTTGCTGTTTGTGATAGTGAACCATCAAAGGGTTTTAAACAGAGTTCTAATATGACTAGATTTGTGTTTTAAAACATCTTCTCTGCAATCTGCTCTATGTGAATGTATTCTGTGATAGCAGGAAAGCTGGTAGTGAGATACTATTGCAGAACCACAGAAAGAGATGAAAAAAGGAGGCCTCAACTGAGATAGTTGCAAAAGGAATGGTGAACAGACCTGAGGGATACTTAAGCAGTCATATATATATATATATATATATATATATGATATATATACACATATATATTATATATATATATGATATATGATATATGATATATATATATATATATATATATCATTAAACCCTGTTTGAAAACAGCTGGCATATGTCATTGAAGCATTCTTTTACCAAGTTTCTCATCTCTTTTCTTCTTTGTCTTTTTCCTCCATCAAGTTATTTTAAGGAAAAATCATTTGGAGATCAGCTAGTGTACTTGGAAGTAAGGTAGTCCTTAAGAAGGCCAAAATGTTGAACCAATATTATAGGATAAATATTCTAATATCTCCTTTTGTGAAACTCAGTCATACCAACCCATATCCTATAAGGAAAAGACTTCCATTATAAAGTTCCAGAAACCTTATATGATTTGAGAGTAGGATAAAATATATTACAGTTTACCCAAGGTGGGTAGAACTGAGGGAGTGTTCTGGTTACCATTTTCCAGTTTGAATAGATTATTTTAGTCAAATAGCTTATTGAACTTTTCCCATTCTTTTATATTTTATGAAACATATTAAAAGATGAAAGTTTTATTTTTTTCTTACTGTATGTCCTCAGCATAATATATTAGGAATTATATTATAGATATTCTTACTATACCAAAACTTCTTTCATGATGTTCTTAGGAAAATATCGACTTCTTATTAATTGTGAGATATTTTATGGCATCTTTATTTAAATTTTCATTAACCATAATTAGTTTAAAATGATTATTTTATCTCATTGTCTTTTCAATTACAAAGACAGGTTGAAAAAATAGAGCATTATTTCCAAGAGTATTCTCAGTACCTTATATATATTATCTCATTCAATCCTCACAATTACCTAGAATTATTGTCCTCATCTTTCAGAAGTAGAAAATGAAGCATAGAACCTTCAAGTCTCAAAACCAGTAAGGACTGAACCAAGATTGGAACCTCGTTGGTTAGAGCCACTAGACTATAATACTCTTTTTTTTTTTAATTTTTTTTCACAATACCTTTATTCTATTTATTCATTTGTATGTGGTGCTGGGGACCAAACCCAAGGCCTCACACATGCTAGGCAAGCACTCTACTGCTGAGCTATAGCCCCAGCCCTAAAATACTCTTAATAAGTAAATTCACATAAAGGACTAAAGGACTGAAGGGGCTATGATGGGTTTATTTTTTTAAAGTTGTCTTTCAGACACTAAATTTAAGATTTTAAGAAACAGCCAGGCACAGTGGCACACACCTGTAATCCTAGCAGCTCGGGAGGCTGAGGCAAGAGGATCACAAGTTCAGAGCCAGCCTCCACAACTTAGGAAAACCTTGTCTCAAAATAAAAAACAAAAAATGACTAGGGATGTAGTTCAATGGTTAAGCATCCCTGGGTTCAATCCCTTTTACCAAAAATAAAAAATACAAAAGATTTAAAAAAAAAAAAAATTATGGTTACTTAGAGTGCAAAATTATAAGGTTATAGATACCCTACCAAAAAGGTAGTTTTCTTTCCACCTGTTGTTTTACTTTTTAAAGTATGTGATGCCCATAAAATGTTAAGTGCCTAAGTAGTTATATACTTTAACACATAGTTAGTTGCTTCTTTGAAAAGGCAATGGATAGGGTTCACTCCCTCAGTTCTACAAGCTGAGGGTTTTTTGTTTTTTAATTTGTTGTTGTTTTTCCTAAGTACTTGCCATGGCATTTGGAACTTGCCTTTTGTAATACTTTCAACAAATCATTTGCATGCAGTTTTAAACCACCCCTTTAGAGTACATTTTTATAATTTTAAAGCTCTGGTAACTTTTTAAAAAATGTATGTGTTTGGAGGAAGGGGCCACGGAGATGTCTCTCTAGGATACACTCCCAATGACCCACCTCCTCCAGCCATACCCCACCTGCCTATAGTAACCACCCATTTCATTCAAACTAGGATGGACTAGGTTACAGGTCTCATAATCCAGTCATTTTACCTCTGCTCATTCTTCCATTAACACAGGACCTTTGGGGTGTACCACACACTCAAACTATAACACTGAGAAAGTCCCCACCCACGTTCTGCACATGGACCATCACAATGGCAGACCTTTTGCCACACCAATTGAGTCTGAAAGCCTGATTAACAGGCTTGAGATGAAGAGAAAAATAAACAGTATTTCATGAAGCCAAAAAAAAACTTTTTTAATGTGTTTAAAAACTGAAAGGAATCAAAAACTTCTCATTGTAATAGCTGTAAATCCTTTCACATATTCCAGAATTGTGTCATAAAAGCCACTTCCTTTCTTTCTTTTCTACTCCTTTTTTTTAATAAGGCAGAAGATGACTAGAAAAACTAAGACTGTTTATTTCTGAAAAATTACACTGTAAAATGGGCTTAAGAAGCAGTGTGACACAGCAAGAAAAAAGGTGGGTTGGGAGGGGTCAGAGAGATTCAAGTTCATATCATAGTTGTGTCACTACCCACCTGCATGATTGTGGGCCAGCTTTTAAAATCCCTGAGCTTCAGTTTCCTCATCTGAAATGAAGAATGGTATCATCTGCTTTGTAGGATTAATAGTAAAAGTACTTGGTATATAGATATTCTTAATAATTGTGAAGCTTCTTTATTTCTCCCCCTAAATATAATCTTTCTTCTTTAAATATGTTGGATGTGCTGACCAGAAAATGTAAAATGAAGTGAAAGAGATTAAAAATGTTTACTAGATGGTGTCAAATTAATAGGACAATAAAATGTAAAACCAGAATATTGTAGGCTGCCCACACAACTGATAACTGAAGGTATGAAACACAGAACAAGCTACAGGTTGCCAGAGTGGCTAATGGTGACCAGAAAAGAGATGACAAATAGCAGCAACATACAAATAGCAGCCAGTCTCTCAATATCTACCTGTCATAGAAAAACAAAGGGACATGGTTTGGATTTGTTTTGTGCTTCCCACATTTCTTGTATAGTTCTGAAAACTAAGTTCAAATAAACAAACAAACAAAAAAAAACTCAGTGGAATAGAACTTGAAGATCCTCCTTCAGAATCTCCCATTAGACCTTTAACTTTAACAGTCTTTTTATGCCACTGTTGTGCAACATGAGCTGTGATTGAACCATTCCCACTGAAAGCTACTGACTTAGGCAGCCATAATTTGTCTTGACCTTAGGAGTTGTACTCCAAAGCTAATTTGATGCCACTTTTCCTTTCCTTGACATAAATAAAGCAGAGTTTATTTTATTCATAATTGGATTATTAGGTTTTAGAGCTGCACTATCCAATACAATAGCTGCTAGCCACATCTGGCTATTTAAATATAAATTCATTAAAAAATAAATATAAACCAGGGCTGGCATTGTGCTTCAGTGGTAGAGTGCTTGCCTCACATGTATGAGGCACTGTGTTCAATCCTCAGCACCACATAAAAATAAATAAATAAAAGTATTGTGTCCTTCTACAACTATGAAAATATTTTAAAAATAAAAATAAAAATCAGTTCCTCAATCTCTGGACAAAATTTAAGTGCCCAATAGCCACATGTGACTAGTAGTTACTGTACTGGACTTGGACTGTGCAGCTATAAAACACATTTCATTTGCACTGTCCCAGAAAGTTCTATCAGACAGCACTGCTTTAAAACAGTCAGTGATTTGGAAGACTTAGATGGTCTTCCATGTTACATAAAAATCGTATTGGTCCTTAGGCAACTTGACAACTCGTTTTGAAGGCTGCCTCTTAAAGAGGGATGACTATACTCTGGGTAGTCGTTATATGAGATCACTGAACAAACTCTGGCCTGCAGTACCTTAGTCCTCCCCAAACTGGATTTTAGAGGGTGTCAGTCATCTAAAATAAGTTTCCAAAGAAATGATAGAATATTTTTGTCTTTATCAAAGACAAAAGTTTCAACATTTCCTCATGTTTCTTCTGTCTATCTCAAAATGTTTAGGAGAAAGATCACTTATTGTTTTTATGTGGCATATCTGACTACCTTATCAGCATGCTAAAATCAGGAGCATGTAATGAGTTCTACTCTATTGGAAATAAGTTGGTGACTTTAGCTCTCCTTCATTCACTTCATCATTAAGTACTCTCTATACATTGTTTTTTAAAATAATTTATCCAGTCTCCCTCTACTTGACAGATTTTTGTCTTGCTCCTCTTTCTGTATCCCTACAACTTAGCACATTATCTAAAACACATAGGAGGTGCTAAGAATATGTTTGAATGAATGAGCTAAAAAT